ATTACATAAAAAATAGAACTTTAAAATAGTTGATTTGATATTAGTATTGATATATATTTTTAAAATTTTTATGATATTTTCAAATTTATATTTTATTCAAAAATAAAATCATTATTGTTTTTTTTAAAACACATAAAATCGTATTATAACATCGACAAAGAAGAATAATAAAATAGAACATTAAAATCGAGATATGTCTCGCTGCATTACGCGAGTACTATTCTAGTTTATTTAAAAAAAATTCAGGTCTTAATCACTCAAAATGTAAAAATTAAATGTTTTTATATTCAAAAAATAGTTCAAGGACTTAGTTATTTAAAATGAAAAAGTTTAATGATTTTTTCATTAAAAAAATAGTTTAAGCACTAAGGCAATTAAAATGAAAAAGTTTATTCGACTTTTTTAGACTTTTCCTTGTTATGAAATATTGTAATTGATTTATTCTCTAATATGTTCTTTTACTTATTTTACATGCTTGCCAACTAATTTTTTTCAAACATAAATTACTCATCAACTAACTTATCAGTTATCAATTAATTTATCATCTAATTTGTCAAAAGATAATTTATCGGTTACTAAAAACTAATTTTCTATTATGAAATCATCCTATCACTTGAAGAATCCATTCAAAAAATTAGGACAAATTGTATAAAATAGTAACATTCTTTAACTTTACATCTTAGATTTTAAAATGAAAATTTTAAAAATACGTTATACACGATAATTTCTTTTTGCAATTTGTTTGAATAATTTATAAAGGAAGATATTTGTGTTGGCTAAATGTCAAAAGCAATTTGTCATGCATGACCCATGGATATTTTACAGTATGAATCTGTTTAAACGCGTATGTTAGAAGATATCGGCCAAATATGTAACACGATCATAATTCACACAAAGTTCTCTTGCTTCAACCCAAATTCTCCTCAATTTGTATCCATTCTTTGATTATTTGTTAAAAAAACGAAGCAATCATCTCTCCATTGCTGTTTGTTTCATCTATGGTTCAAGCTAAACTTCATTCAGTTGCAGGTCTCTTCACGAGTTCAAGCGGACTTCATTTTTCAGGTGATAATTATAATCTGCCTTTTCATTTTGCTATTCGATTGGTTAGATTCGAAAAGGTTCACCAAATCCTGATGAGCTTCATAGATCTGCTTATTTCATGCATTTTGACTAGTTTGGTACTGGTAGTACGTCGCTTTCGAGCTTTACTTTTCCGGGTTTTAGTTCATATTTGTAGAAAGCAGATATGAAACCCTAATTTTTTTGAATTTGAGCTCTTGTTAGATATGGATAGTAATGGTGTATTTAAAATTATTCGTCTATTATGTCTTTGTTGATTGTGTTGATTACGGTTTTTTCATCCTTTTTGCTAATCTCGATTGATAAAATTCGTAATTGATAAAGTTTATGTTCCACTTTGTACATCTTCAGCTTTGCTTTTTTTCATGAACATCGCAAAATGATTGTCTTCTCTAACTTTTATAAACCTTTTTCAGCTTGAATTTGTGGAAGTATAATGAGAGATCCCAATAGGTTTCATCTACTGGAGTATTTTTCTTGTTTTCTGCTATTTGGTTCTGTGATTCATCTAGTTTCAGCTACGGAAACCGATAAGATCTTGCTAAATTGTGGTGCAAACGGTGAAACCAGTGATTATGATGGTCGAAACTGGACCTCAGACGTAGGATCAGAGTATGCATTGGCAGGGGAGGTTTCAATAGTATCCGATGCTGCTACCCAAAAACCTTCTGTTCCTATAGTCCCTTACATGACTGCTAGGATATTTCGATCCGAGTTCACATATAGTTTCCCAGTAGCATCTGGTCGGAAGTTTGTCCGCCTTTACTTCTACCCTGCAACTTATGCTAACCATGTTGCCTCCAATGGTGTCTTCTCTGTGAATGTTGGACCGTATACTCTTTTGAAAAACTTCAGTGTAGCTGAAACTGCCATTAATCTCAACTTTGATTTCATTTCTAAGGAGTATTCTGTAAATGTCGAATTTGGGACTTTGAATGTCACGTTTACTCCTGCTCCCGGCACTCCTAATTCGTATGCATTTGTCAATGGGATTGAAATTGTGTCTCACCCTGATATCTATGCTTCTAAGGGACCTCCTGTGAGTGTTGGTACCTCCACAGCTTCCAGTATTGATAACTTTACTGCCCTTGAGAACGTATATCGTCTAAATGTTGGTGGACAGATAATTTCGCCTTCTGGGGATACTGGGCTCTTCAGGCCATGGGAGGGTGATACTGCTTATATATATGGTTCTGCTGTTGGGGTTCCTGTGGCCGCTGATCCAAACATTAAAGTTAATTTTCCTTCAGGCATGCCAGATTATGTTGCACCAGTTGATGTGTATACAACGGCTAGAGCCATGGGTCCGACTCCACAAGTCAACCTTGGTTACAATCTGAGTTGGTATTTTGATGTAGACACAGGATTCTCGTACCTTATTAGGCTCCATTTTTGTGAAATTGATCCAAAAATAACCCTAATTAACCAAAGGGTATTTGAAATATTCATCAACAATCAAACTGCAGAGACTGAGGCAGATGTTATTGTTTGGGCGTCCAAGAGTAAGGTTCCTGTATATAAAGATTATGTGGTGTTTCTTGCACCTGGGAGTCCTCGGCAGGATCTTTGGATTGCGTTGCATCCCAACACTGCTCTGAACCCGAATTACTATGATGCCATCTTGAATGGTGTGGAGATATTCAAAATAAACACGACCGATGGGAATCTTGCAGGCTCGCTTCCGATTCCCGCTCCAAAACAACCGATCATCGACCCCTCTAGAGTGTTGTCACATAGCTCAAGTAAATCAAATAGCAAACAATGGATAATTGGTGGTGGGATCGGTGGTGGTATTGCGGCTATCCTTCTTGTTGGTCTGTTTGTTTGCTTCCGTTCCTGTAAAGGAAAACGACGCACGAATCCAAGCTCGAGCATTGGGCCATCTGGTTGGCTACCAATTTCTTTATATGGAAACTCTCGCTCTACTACAACAACAACAACAAATACTATGGGAAGTAATGCTTCTTTTCTTCCTTCGAACCTTGGTCGCCACTTCTCTTTTGCAGAGATTATGGCTGCAACCAACAACTTCGATGAGACTCGACTTCTTGGTGTTGGTGGATTCGGGAAGGTTTACAAGGGAGAAATCGATGGTGGAGTGACTAAAGTTGCAATCAAGCGAGGGAACCCACTCTCTAATCAAGGTTTGAACGAATTTCAAACCGAGATCAAAATGCTTTCAAAACTTCGTCATCGTCACCTTGTTTCTTTAATTGGTTATTGTAAAGAGAACACCGAGATGATCCTTGTATACGATTACATGGCTCATGGAACACTTCGTGAGCATCTTTACGATACACAAAATCAACCTTTGACATGTAAGCAACGGCTTGAGATTTGTATAGGCGCTGCCCGTGGTCTACACTACCTTCACACGGGTGCCAAACACACCATCATCCACCGGGATGTCAAGACAACAAACATCCTCTTGGACGAGAAATGGGTTGCCAAAGTGTCTGATTTCGGGCTATCAAAGACGGGTCCTGCTGTGGATCACACTCATGTAAGCACCGTCGTGAAGGGTAGTTTTGGGTATCTAGATCCCGAATACTTCAGGAGACAACAGTTGACGGATAAATCGGATGTTTACTCATTTGGGGTGGTGCTTTTTGAGATCTTATGTGCACGGCCCGCCCTGAACCCGACACTTGCGAAGGAGCAAGTGAGCTTAGCTGAATGGGCTCAACACTGTCACACAAAGGGAATTCTTGACCAGATCATCGACCCGTATCTGAAGGGAAAGATTTCGCCGGAATGTTTCAAGAAAGTGGCAGAGACCGCCGTGAAGTGCGTAGCGGACCAAGGGATCGAAAGGCCATCGATGGGGGATGTTCTGTGGAACCTCGAGTTTGCTCTGCAGCTTCAAGAGAGTTGTGGTGATATGGAAGAGAGAATCTCCGATGAGATGCCACTCAACTCGAGAAGCAATGGTTCGTCACCGAGTTCTTTTTCTCACATATCGTGAAGGCTTTAGCCGAAAATGGCAATCCGCTGTTTTTGTGATCAAATACTTTGTAGAATATAAGTTATGTATGATCCCAATAGAGGCCTTGTGTTTCAATATCTCTGGCTCGGAATTAGAGATGTACAAAGCTCGTTTTTAGTAAGAAACAAGTCAGGCCCGGGCTTGCCTTTAGGTTGTTCAGGCCGGTCTCGGACCGCACCTTGAAAAAGATACTGGTTTGATCGGGCTTTTTTGTGCAACTTTACTCGCATATGTGTAGGATTGTACTTTTGAGTATTGGTAGAAGTCAAATCAATCTGTATAATTGCATATGTTTTGTATTCTAATGTTTTCTTATCTTATTTGCATAAATTTATTGTTGATGTTGTTTTCTGAATTTGCAAAAATTTAATGTGTATGTTATTGATGTTCATTGTTGAAGCTAAAATAATGTTTTTTGGATTTTGTATTTTCCCTTCAAATAAAAAATGAAAAGAATAACCACAAGGGTGGTGCTTGATTGATTTAAGTTTGGTTCCAAAAATCAAAAGTACCAGGAGGTGGTCGTTCAAATGCGGTGACTCTGGGCTATCTACAAAGCAGGTGGTCGTTCTAGGATTAGTCGGTTCGCATAGCGAGTTGGATATGCAGGTTAATAAAAAAAAATGGAAAGAAAAAAGAAAATATTAAAAAGATTAAATAATAAAGTAAAATGATAAAAATACTCCTGATTAAATACGGTTGAATAACGAGAATTAGTAAAAAAGGACCAAACTGCTAAAAAAATCAAGTTGACCATTTTTGTTAAAAATTCACTTTAGAGATCTAATTTGCTAAAATCAAAGAACGGGGACAAAACTTGTAAGTTTGTAAAACGTCCATGCTCCACTGTACCGTAACTTATGGTTTAAACTACATGTGGTATAATTTACGGTTTGCATTTTTATCAAATCACGGTATTTGTTGTTTATGATTTTGAGTTATCAACATGCGGTTCAAACCGCACCGTACATTATATATATAGGGAAAGGTTCAAACGAGAACTCCTGGGATTTACGAGAATGTGAAAACAACTTATTAACCCTATACTGTGATAACAATTAAAATTAAAAGATTTTTGAAATTAAAATTGAAATTTAAAATGATTCAAGAAAATTTGAGATTCGAAAGGGTAATAATGGAAATCAAAATCATACAATTTTAAACATGATCATATTATAATCCTGGAAATTAGAGTTATCCACTTAATTCAACAGTTATAGTTTATTAGAAGGTATTGATTAAGAAGGTAACGAAAGGATTTCAAGGAGAAATCGAAGATCAAGAAGCCGTAACGTCTGGAAATCAAACAGTAAACAGGAATCGAACAACAAACAGGAATCGATCAACAAGAAGAAGCCGTAAGGTTTGCATGCAGGAATCAAACAGTAAGAAGTCGTTGTAGAACACAGTTTATTTAAGGTATCTGTCACAATTACTTGATTTTTGAACATGCTTTCATTCGATTAGGATTAGACAATCACACATTTATCACAACGATTACAGGCGAAATCGACTAAACGATTTGGTGTGATATGGGTGTGATATCACTATCATAACATCGCACTCGATTTGATTATGGTTTCGATCGGTTAGGGTTAGACAATCACACATTTATCACAACGATTACTCATGATTTCGATAGGTTAGAATTAGAAAATCACACATTTATCACAACGATTACGAGCGGAATCCACTAAACGATTTGGTGAGATATGTGTAAAATCCAAAAATTTGTGGAATAAATAATTTATCTTTATTAGTATTTTATTTTAAGAATATATATATATAAATATATATATATATATATATTAAATAAAAATAGAAGGTTGAAATAAGTCTAAAAGTCGGACCAAAAGTGAAGGGAGAAGTCAAGACATGGGTGAAAGTTGTCAAGTCGCGGAAGTTAAGGGACTGGGTCGTGTGTAAGCAGGTCCAAACCAGAAGGACCTGTTTTGTAAATAGGCAACAGAACTGCAACAGGGTGGCCTGCTGTCAACAATCGAGAGAGGCAGAAGAGGAGCAGGCGGTGCCTGGTTCAAAAAGGGAAACTGTGACCTGATGGTTGCAGGCTGTGGAGAAGCCGTTCACAGCCTAAAACTAGGGATTCGGCCGATTTGGTCAACTAATAGGCCAAATCGTTTGAGTATAAATTATGGGCACTGGTTAGGGTCGCTATTCATTTGAAAAGAAGAAGGAAATCGTTGAGCTTGAGAGAGAAAAACCGGAGTTCAAGACCAGGCAAGAACCCCCCTGCTTTCCCGCCGTTTAGAGGTAAATACTCAACCAAAATTTTATGTTGTTACAACGTTTGGCTGTGTCTTTGGCCCTGTATAGAACTCTAGAAGGCTCATGTTCCAAACTTCGTGTTTTAGGATTCGATTTAAAGTTTAGATTTCATTTGGTGAATATGCTGTATCGCGTTCTGTTTAGAAACCACTTTAAAGAAGGTTATACAGAAACTCTGCATGAGAGCTCTGTATCAAGTTATATGGTACAAAATCTCTACATGGGAGCTTTGTATCAAGTTATAGTAGCCAGAAGCTCTATATGAGAGCTCTGTATCAAGTTGTGCTAGACAGAAGCTCTGGAAGAAACCACAGAGGGGCTCTGGCCCTTGATGAAATATTTCTTATAAGATTAGGAACCAGAGGCTCTGGTCGTGAGACCAGAAGCTCTAGAAGAGAGACCAGAGGGGATCTGGCTCGTGAATTATTTTCCAAGTATGGTTGGAACCAGAGGCTTTGGTCGTGAAAAACCAGAAGCTCTGGAAGAGAGACCAGAGGGGCTCTGGTCCTGCGTTGAAATATTTTCTAAGTATGGCTAAGAACCAGAGGCTCTGGTCATGAAGACCAGAAGCTCAGGAAGAGAGACCAGAGGGGCTCTGGTCCTGCGTTGAAATATTTTCTAAGTATGGCTAAGAACCAGAGGCTCTGGTCATGAAGACCAGAAGCTCTGGAAGAGAGACCAGAGGGGCTCTGGTCCTGAATGGCAAATATTTTCTAAGTATGATTTAGAACCAGAGGATCAACGGACGGGTTACTAATATTTTCTAAGTGTGGTATACAACCAGAGGGGCTCTGGTCCTGAAGGACTTAAGAGCCCAGAGGCTCTGTCAATACCACCAGAGGCTCTGGTCGTTCACAGAGGCTCTGGCCTTCTTCCAGACTTAGTCATTTTAAGATATATAGCTAGACAATACACCTTATGTTGGAACTCACGTTTCTATAATTTTGATTGATGTGAGGAGCATTTAAGCATAGTTAACCAAGGTTGACCCTAGCCAACGTAGTTGACCGTAAGTTGACTTTTATGTAGCCTTTGGGAGAAATTAATCATTTATATGCTATATGCTATTATAAATTGTAGGTTACCAGTCAGCAGCGTTAGATAAGCAATCTACATTATCAGGTGAGTCTTTATGAGACTTACAATGGGATGCATACCTATGTATAAATTTATTTTCAAGCATTATACGATGGCGGTACAAATGCATGATGTTTCAGTTTACATACATGATATGTTTTACATGTATGACGTTTTATGATCAATTGCATGCTATGTGTTTAATCATGTTTCGAATAACTCTAGCATGCTTTTCTAAAGTTTGATGATTTAAGGGTGGGCATTTGACCAGTAAGTCACGACCAGTATAAAACACTACTCGGACAAGTGGGTGATAAGTTAAGATTGTGATACCCAGGGCGTGTTGGTGACTAATAAGTCACGACCAGTATAAAACACTACCCGGACAAGTGGGTGATCAATCGAGAATGAAGTATCAACCCATGGCGTGTTTGTGACTAAATGACCCATTCCAGATAGATAATTTAGGAGATCTCATTTCTTTCAGTGTTGCATGTTTTCAGAAATTGCATGCTACTT